CTCCAGATAATTAAATAGCTACATTAAAACGAAAATAGAAATGCAATTAACGCAGGTGCAGCTGGAATGTAATTATCATAATTTCCACCCTGCGGACCGAAAAGTTAATTCAGTAAAATCCAATTTTCTGAATTGAATAATTTTTTTTTCTCGTTCACTGTCGTATTATAAATTTGAAGTAAAAATTTATTTATGTCACCCCGGAGTCTATCACTGACGCAGATGCCAATACCCTCGAGCGGTTAGATATAAAACCGGTACAGAAGGCACCAGAGGATAAAACATAAAAATAAAATAGTGTGCAAACCGAAGGATCCAGACACGAGACGAGCAGAAAAAAAAAAGTTTTAAAGTATTTGTACAGCATTTTAGTTGGCAACGGAAATCTTTCGCGGTAGAATCATTCTGTTGCAATTTCCAATTTATATTTCTCCCACCGACAGAAAAGTTGAGTGAAATGTGAGTAAAAAAAGAAATATGTCGAAGAAATATTCCATCAATTTCCATCAATTTTTGAATGAGGGATGACCGATAAAAGTGATGGAACTGTTATATTTTTTCAACGCGAGTTTTTGAGAAATATTTTTGCGCAATTGGAAATGAAAATTGGAGCGGAACCCGAGGATTATTGAGGGCTCCGGATACAACGAACTCCAGAGGATGGTAAACCACCTCGGGGGATTCCCCAGTGAGACCACGGGGTTCAATTTTTGAAGAGAAAATTCTCACGGGAGCAATAAAGCTCCTGGCGTTTAGGGATCGTTGTCAATATTGTCTTCATTACAATCCACAGACTATTCCCTTTTTCTTTTTCTCAATTGATAAAACAAAATAAATATTATAAATCTACATTACATGGGACAGAGAACCGCACACACCATTACCCAATAATATTTTTAAAAACTCTTATTCCTCGGTGCTATATCGTATCCCCTTTGAGGTCATACACAAGTCAATAATTTTCTCTTGAAAAGGTCTGGTTAGACCGCCATCATCTCGGGGCTCTCAACCGAGAATTAAAAATAGCCGACACCCCAATAAAATTCCGAAAATGCCCCATTCGTTATCAATAAATAAAAAACAAAAATATAAAATTACCAATCATTGGAATTAAATGGGAATATCAGCCGTAAAAATATAGGGGGTTAAATTATATCCCAGAGAACCGCCCCCTCAATTCTGATATCATCATGATAAATATTTATCGATGTCATAAAAATTGACATTTTATTTGTTGCTGACCCTCGGGATAACTCCGGATAACGTAATAATTTCTGGTGTAATTTAAATAATTCCGTGGATTCGGGAATTGACTTGGGTAAATGCGATTTTAACTAGAATTCCTTTCATAAATATGTACGAGGTAACCGATGTGTTGTAGCTGACCTGTTCTTATTTGAAATGCAGGAGACATAAATGAATTTCCGAGGAAATTAGTTTTGCTTCCCCTAGGTTAAGGGATGGACTAACACTCGGTTATAACATGACTTTTGTACTTTATTTATTGCCCCTATCAGTATTTAGTTTAGGGGATGCTCGAGGTCTCAGGAAAATCGACGAGATGGCGCAATTGAACTAGGGGATGAATTACCGACTGGATTCTACTTATCCTATCGTTATATATAATCGAAATGAAATAGAATTCGATTCAGCCAATGGCTCAATCGATAGAAAAGACTCCATGAATTTTCCATATTTTTAAAATAATATTGTTAAAGTTTGAAAATTATGAGAAATATTCACCGAGTTTTAATAACTGGACTCCCGGACTGGAATATCATCGATAATTAATTTGAATTGCTAATGGTACATGCCCTCCAACTTTTTTCATTAAATTCTCCTTACGATTCTTTCTCTCAATGTTATAAAATACGAGGCACATCTTCAAATAACTCCGCGAGAATCCTAAATCAACAATTCAAAGTAGAAAGTTTCACTTTTTCGTAAGTTAATGCCGCTTGATGATGATAATTTTTAAATGGTAATTCCAGGTGGAAGTAACCTTTGGGTGGTAATTTTCATTTGAGAATTTATCAGAGGGTAATTTATTGAGCCCGTGGAAACTAACAGGTCGGGCCGTCAGCTTTGTGGCCTGACGACACGCGTTGTTGGACATGACCACAATGTTTAATCTCACGTCATTCCTGTTGTTTCTGATTCAGTTAAATAACCGGGGACAAAATTATCATAAAATCTGATAATATATATAATAATAATAATAATAATATCTGAGTAATATCTGAATAATATCTCAATAATATCTGAATAATATCTGAAATAATTCTGAGATATATTATGGGCCGAAAAATCTGTCAAATATATCGTAAATATAAACGCGATATATCTAATTCCCAGATGGGATGATGGGGTGGGGGGTTACGAGGGGGTTCTTAGTGGGTCAATTGCATCGATTGAAGTTTGAAATTGATACCGAAAATGGCACGAGTTTGTGCAAGCGAATAGTTGTGGCGATTTCACGTGAAATCCCAGTAGTTCAATGCGGCTGATCGTTACCGTTCATTACTACTTCGGCCTGACCATATCTGCGGTTGTGGGACAGGCTCAACAACGATTGTTGTTGTTTCCATTCCCAAAGCCGTTCGATGTAGGTACCAACGAGTATTTCCATGAACTCTTCAACCACATATTTATACTCTTGCGGTTTTTACTCAGATATTCTCCCTAAATGTGCCATTCGAATTTAACGACATGCGGTTGGGTGTGAACTACTTTTTTTTTCTCAACCCATTTGTACATTTTGAGTTTCATCCCAGACCAGAATGCTAAACAAAGTACGTTTCAGAAGGGTGATGATGGCAGCTAGGGGAAAACCTCGTAATGTCATTTTTATGGTGAAAATATCTTGGCGCCTGACGTGCGTTGCTGTCGAGACTGTCCCCTGATGATTCCCAGTTTTGCATTTATTTGCAAAAGAAATTGCTAACTTATTATAATTTGTTGCGTTTTTATTTTATTGTCTGAAAGAAATAGCGCCATTCATAAATTTGTTCACCCTAAAAACGTCAAATACTTCTGAGAATCGCAATTTCAATTCGGTTTGACTTTTTACGACATTCTCACACTTCCGGAGTAAGAAGTTTCGAGTTGCGAAAAATTCAAAGCGACAAGCCAAATTTCATCCAACATCCCCAGACCTTCCATTCAACTGAGTAATTACCAAAAAAATAAAACAAACGAGTCATATCATGTTTGAATCCACCCCCCGCGGTTTCCCAATAATTTCCCAAATTAATGACTAATTAATTGCCACGCAATTAGTTCTGCGGAAATGTGCAAACACGAGAACTCGAGCGATAACGATTAACGGACGACGAAAATTTCATTATTTTCAGTCGCGACAGGGAGCATATGAGATTTTTCAACTGCAATACCCACGAGTATTTCCGCAGGCAATTAACATCAATTGGTATGCCACATGCAACTGCGAGCCCCGTCTCTCCTGAGAGAGAACGTACCTCAGAATTTTTCTCTGAGTTGTGAATTAAAAGAAAAAAGGGAAATAGTGTCCGTCATTCCCACCGCACAGTCCGCCATTTCGTTATCACTTTAAAGACCTCATTAAGATTCATCTAATTGCCCTATCCCCGTCCTTCACCCCAGGACTGATTCACCGGAAGTGAAATAATTATCAAACCCAATGTTAAACCCCAAATAACGAGCACTAAAAATTCAAACAGATCATATTTCTCCTCAATTCATCCCTTTGATATAAAATCCCAATTGAATTACAAAATAATAAAGCAAAAAAAAAATCAATGGAAAGATGTTGAGATGTGAAAGGAAAGCTGCTGTTATATTTTGCCACCGAAAGAAATAAAAAATTGAGTTATCCCATAGTGAATGGAAATAAAAATAGCATTGACTCTTCGTGACTGAGTTTGTTACATCCAGTGGCAATTCTTCACCCTCGCACGTACCATTTCCCCCTATTGACCCACGACCCCCGTATTTCGGTGTCAATTCATTCGAATAAGTATAAACGCGAGGTAAAAGTGATTCCAACTCGTTTTCATTGAAAGCACGAAAAAGGCTGGCCCCTAATTTCCCAGGGAGCCAACATCCGAGAAAAGTTATATTCATGGGAGAATCCAGATTCACAAAATTCATCATCTACCCGAAGAGAACATGTCCCTGGACTCGAAGACTCAAATAGTTCGCTATATCGTGTCATCATTGAGTCGTAAAAATGTCGCCTACGATCGTATCCCTTGAAAAAAGCTTTGTAACGTCTATATTGTCCGGATATCGATTTCCGGATGTCAATTCTATTCGTTTTTACGGCCCGTCAACCCCCGGAGGTCAACGGAGACTTTATAATCTCTTATTCTCTTTTATATTGTCGAGATGGTACAATTTAAAATGGCCCTCTTACGTCTCTTCAACAAACACGACATTAATGACTCGATAAATCATAAAAGCATTGCACCTGATGACCACAGATGACTTACGTCTGACAGAAGTTTTGAGACAGAGATTGATAAGTCGTTTTTGGACGCGAGCTTTAGAATTAAACACTCTAGATCCACGGATAACGTCGATTAAGGGGATAAAACAAATAGTCTGATTCTGAATAGAACCACTCCCAATAGACTCGCCAACTTATTTCATCATCGCTAATTAATTTCAAGACTCGAATAATTTCCAGTGACTCGAGTCTCTCATTCCCCTAGCTCTCTGTTTAATCCGCAACGCGTCGACTCTGCGGCATTAGCGGAATATTTGTCTCAATGCAAAAGTTTGCAGTTACTGAAGTTTGAGATCATGAAGCTTCACATCGCAAGTTAAATGTATGTACCGAAGGTGATGTTCCGTGGAGTTCATTATATGAATTAAAATAATTATTCTTGGTGGAAAATTAATGATAAATCATATCGAAGACATTTGACACGACTCGAATGAGAAGTTGTTTTGAACTCTTGGTAATTTTCGTGAGAAAGTAACGCCATGAATTTTAGAATAAAAAAATTTTTGGGACTCACCAGTGGGACTTGGCGTTAGCTCCTTCATTGCGATGTGAACATGGATGTCGTAATGAGTGAATAGTCCTAGCTTTGGTCCTCTTGTGCTACGTTGCAGAACGCTGACTGCAGTTAAAGCTGCTTTGGTGTACTCACGAGTGCCAAATGCCTTGTACGGAACAACCATTCCCACCTGTTAAACCAAGACTCAATTATAAATCTCCATTGCAAAAGCACCTCACGTAATGATAAAAACCTTTCGAGCTGAAATCAGTAATCTCCATTCATTAATTATCATCTTAATTAGCCACCTCTTGCAGACGGTGATCTCATCAACTTCTCAAACATAAGATTCATTTTTTATCAGGAATAATATCCCCCATCAATCCATCCTGATATTACACCAGCATGACGTCGGCTATTTGATTATAAGTAGATGATCCAATGAGACTTTTCCTCATTAGATCGTATTACGGATGACTGCCAGAAGGAATCAGAGATTACAGATTTCAACTCATTTCAACGTCTCCATTTTAATCGGATTAATTGTGCAACGCTTTCAGTAATAGTGAGGTGTTAATCTGTTGATGGAAAATGTCTAGATTTCGAGAGATGTGAGACCAGGTAAGGCACTTTGACGGTGAATTCATAGAGCAATCCTCTGAAGTTATTAAAGGCTATGAATGCGAGAATACCTCATTGATCTGTGTCAATGGCAGAGGCTCGAGTACTTACTTGTTCAACACGTCCCTTCCCCACCGCCCATTCATTCGCAACAATCGATAGTACGTGCAACAGGTGGACTCAGACTCTACATGTACCCGACATTTTAAACGATAATGAGGATTATAAAATTTTTAGGCCCCTTTCGCGAGGTTACTGTCAAAGACCCAGGCAATTCCCAATTAACTGCTATAATCCAATTCTCACCTTTGGGATTTTATCTCAAAAGCTGTTCAAGTCTGTCGATTCGTCCGTTTATTTTTCAAATCGATTTAGTGGCTGCATAAATGGGTTTTACTGATAGTAGAAAATTCTATCAGAATTGAACTAGTTTTTCGATATTATTTCGAACTAGTGGGATTATCATGCTATTCAATCCATAAATAAAAATTACCTGTAGATATGTGAGATTGTTGCCACCTCCAGCAGCATGAGGTGCATGCGTCAGATGTGGCTCTGACGTAGTTGATGATGTAGTGGATGCAGGTGCTTTCTGTCTGGTGATATTTCCTCTGTTCTCACCAAGACGTACCCCAGATCCTCTTGAGGACCCCCCACGACCGGTACCAACAGCCAAACCCCTCGACAAACTACCCCTTTCACTAGTCCCTATTTTAATAGTGCTCTCACCCCTCACCACGTCTCTACCACCGAACCATCCAAGTCCCCAATCTGGCTCACCAAACACTATCATCAAACCCACGATACACGAAATCGACAGCTTCATTGTTCCCACACGTCTATCACTCGTCGATGTTAATTCATTTCTGAATCACTGGATTCCGTCGACACCAGAAAATTGTTTTTCACTGGGACTCCGACACCTGCAGGTTGTCCCTGAAAAATGGGAAAATTGAATTTTATTTTGAGACGTGCGATGGCAGATTGAAATTTAAAAAAAATCTTCGACCCGAGACTCGGCTCGAATTTCTTTTTCAAATAAAAACCCTTGAAATATTGAGAGAATCTTTCTATTTCTTGGGTATGCAAATGGAATACAAATAACGGGAGAAATTTAATACGAAATTTATCGCTGAGGGAAACAGTGATTCAATTACATCTTACTGCTGTGTTCTCCGTTGTTAAAGTTTTCCGGCATATTTTTGCGGAGGAAAGGGGAATGATAAAAGTCTTTGATGGAGACTGAAGTTTTTGGGATGAGTAGAAATGGAATTTTATAACAGACGGGAAACGAATGAATTTTGTAGTCCGTGGGTTTGAACAATTTTTATAAAAATTCATTCCAACAACGAATGGGAGGATTTTACGTGTGATGGATGGGCATTTCCGCTGGAATGCCAATAAAATGAGTGAAAATATATTTCTCCGTAAATAGAGTGGACTGACATTGCATTAGAATGAGCGAGTGTCCACCCCTAATATATTCCTAGAAATTTTACGAGCTAAATTTTATGACTTGTAAAATTGAATCATGTCATACGTAATTTCATAGAACATTGACACTGAGTTACACCGGGTGATGCATTCAATGGATGAATTGATGGAAAGTCCAAAGGGAATTCTCGTTAGTCGGAATTTGCCAGTCCATGTATAAAGAAATTCAATGAGCACTCAACCGAGTGCAATTCGCAATATCTCACACTTGCCCAGTGAATTAATCGCTTAGAATATCTAGTTAAACCCCGCCTATTGGTACAGAATTCCCTTTGACAAGTTGAAACATCTGGAGAATTAAATTCCAGATGAGCACACGTGATAATGAATTACCCCACGATCATTAAATTATTTATCAAGTATTGGTCGCAGGTTTTTCCATTTATTTGATTTTTTCTGTCTGCAATAATTCTTTGAAGGATCGAGAACACAATTCTCGAGAGATGCAAATAAAATTCAACTGGAGAATGTACTAGATAAGATTGGGTTTCACCAAGGTTTTCCATCACATCATAAACTTCCTTGAGATCGTCTTTCAAAGAAAAAAGAAAATTCACTGGGAGTACTCGAAGATCAACATCAAAGTCGAGGTAGAATTCGTAACGATGGTATTATGGTATAGCAATAAGAAAAAAATATCCCGTATCATTGTGGATTTTACGAACTCCTAACAACTGATACGATAACAAGAACCAGAGGAAAAATCAGCATAAAAAAATCGAAAACCCCAAAAACCAAATAAAAATGACAATTCCAATTAATTAATTAGTTGTTATAATTTATTACTTTGCCCTGGTAATTTCTAAATTTAAAGGTAAATAGATTTTATCTCAACTCTTCACAGAAAAATCCGGACGATCTCGTCAAAGTCCCCACCGAATCTCAAGCACGAATTTCCTGATGGAAGACATCACTCGAGCTCACCTCTGCCATCGCATATTCATTCGGCTTTTTTGTACGTAAGCTGGTGAGACCCCGGCCCTGTTAAAACCACAGTCACGTCGATTCATCGAAAAATAGCCAGGGCCTCACCTGTTCGCGAAATAAAAACGATAAAAACCCCAAAAACAATGAGAAAAAAAATACACGAATTAAAAATCTAACTACTGAATATGGAATTTCGATTGGATATTAAAAACTTGAATTGAGGAGAAATCTAATGTGCGAGGATATCATCGATAACCGCACGACTGCTGTACCTCTCTTTCGATTAATCTCTCAGATATTCCAGGATAACTCACTGGATCCAGTGTTATCAACAGGGGGAATTACCAGAGATGGAAATCTGAGACGAGAACTACTCGGATTTCTCGCATTCCTCTACTACTCTCTATTCATCATCACCCCCATTTTTTTTTTAATCTCCACTTTCTCCGACAATTAATTCCAACTGCGCATTCCTCTTGGATTTCCATCACAAGATTTTCCATGTTTTTTAGTTCTTCAGCTTTTCATTTCCAATAGTGTTTTTATTTTTATTGTTGTCACAGAGATATTGGAGTGAGTGATGAAAAAATAGGAGATAGTTACCATCAAAGGAAACGAAAAATATGAGGAGAACTGCTAATGAAGGGGAGATGGAACTCCGATGGATCTATCTGTGAAGGAATATTCATCGGTATTTTGCCAATTGGTGTAAGGGATGGCACTGAGGAGGGCCATTGTGGATTACTCCAGCATCTCTTCCTCCATTAGAGAATACTTCCTTCCAGCATCACCTCTTCGTTCCATCTTGAAATGCTCAGGGGATGTGCCACTCAGATTCTATATCTGTATCAGCATCACTGGATGCTCCAATTAAGGGAAGGGTCAATTGCTGTTCGGATAAATTTCCTCAGGAAAGATGTAGATACAATCCTCCAGTCATGGTTTCACCCTCACTGCTAATCAATTTGTCGAGTTTATTTCATGAGTTTCAATTAAATTCAACGCATGAATTTTCGTGGTAATATTCTCTGGTAATTTATTTCTGCGTCTACGACATCTCCGGAAAAGCTCAATATTTTTCCCGTTTTCATTTGAAATCTGATTGATACGAGATAGGAGAAAATACTGAGTACGGAAATGCCAAAATGCCTTGAAGAGAGTGAGTGGAATTAATGGAAATTCTTTCTGATTTTCATCACTTTGAGAGGACCTCCAGGTCTTTATCATTACCGTTTTATTGCTAGTCCCTTAGGGCACTTCATCCCTCAATTCCTGATACTTTGAAGTTTGAAAGTTCTCGGAAGTGACTGTCAAACGCACTCAGCCCCAATGATTATCTCTCATTACCCCAACGAAACTCGTTATAAAACTCGATATTAAACTCGATTTCGCAGTTTATATCGCAATTCGTCTGAGATTATCGCGCGTGTTAAATAAAATAATGCCTGGAGAAGGGAATAAGAGTTGAACAATAGTTTTGGTAACGGAAACTCGGATGGAGCGATAAATTCAATAAGGGAAAAGTCAAGAACAAGAGAAGAGAAAAAGACCTTGTAGACATTTCGCATTGTGAAATAGCTCGAGACGTTATATATGTTAAAGAAGATATATCGGGTAATTTGAGGTTGCAGGATGAAAGTGGCAAGTACTACATATCTTTCAGACTGATGTTCACCTCGGGCCATCGAATTATCAGAGAATGCATCCTTCGTAAACACTGGAGACACGGATGTCAACACTATCCTATCAATTTTCACCAGAGAGTCACCAAAAGTTCGTGAACTATTTCCACTTTTCATTATTCAATTGTAACTTCTTAAATCCGATAATCAGAAATGGAACAAAATGAATTTTGTTATTCAATCGATGAATTTATTTATTTTTTTTTATATGATTTAAAAAAATGATTTGCGAATTGGAATTCAGAACGAGTGATTCGATTGGAAAATTTTCTCTCTCAAATTATTTCCCCAGAATGGAAAACGAGTGATCGAATTATTCCGCCAGATTATCTCGACGCATGAGGCCATAAATTTTCACAATACGCGCCCTCTAATCAATATTATCAGTCACGACCTCCAATGATGCTGAAGATGGATAGAAATTCGATGACTCAAATTACAATGCTGGACATGCCCCGAGTCAACAGTCGGTCAACTCTCGACATGCACTATCCAAATAATATTCACCTATCGCACGAACTGCATGTGGCAATTTCAGTCACCGGAACGAATTTGAATTAACACGAGCCCTCAAATAACCCAGGGCACAAACCCATTGTTCCCACTGGCCTCATAATTCCTCCATTATCGCATCTTCCGCGAATATACTTGTCGAAAACTCTGGGTTCAACACGAGAACCCAGTGATATTAAATGAATCAAAGAAGAGACATTAATTATTCACGAGAGATAGCCTTAATGAATGGATGAGAAAAAATTGTTGAAGCTTTTATTAGTTGCACTGGGGACGAATTAAATCAACAGCACCCGATGGGAATTGCTCGGCAATTGAAGTATGAAAGGCATCGGAAATTATATCCATTTGGGAATATGTGAGAGAAGAATTAAAAACACTATTTCATGGAGAATAATAACAATTATTTTTCCCTTGTACCTGATTTCGACTGAAAATATGAATGATTCGTGGAATTAACCATCGAAGAATAAATCGAGATATTTGTCTGAAAAGTTTTGCAGAAATTTTTGAAAAATTTGGAGAAAATAACAGTCTAATTATTTTTAATTTACGCGGGAGTTCAAACAGATGGTCACGATCGCGGATGATTAATACTGCAATTACAGGCCATCGTAATTATTATTTCGAGGGAAAAATTTGTGTGGGATACTGAAAAGAATCGTGTGATAGATTGTTTCTTTGTCGGAGGGTGAAGTCTTTGTGAACGGGATGAGATTTTTCTCCTCGACTATTCCTCTCTTTTTAGACCCATCCGAATTTTTTGTTTCTAATATCAAATTCCGAATGCGATTCCCTGACAAAGTCCCACATGCCCTAGATTTTCCTGATTTACACTGATAAATAAAAAAAAGTCCTTTGTAACCCAAAAGTTGAAACCTTGGGCTTTTAAAAAGGCCAATTCCACTGACTCAATGACTCGTTGACCAAAATTCTGTAGTCGAATGAAATTTAAAATTGAAACATAATTTTTTTTGAGATTCTTCGGTACTCACCGAATAGCTCCAGCTCTCAGCTCTCAGTCAGTTCCTCCATAAAACTTTAAACCCCCAGCAAACAGCTGATGAATAAATAAAGGTGAACGATAATGCCTGGAGTACCAGGAAAAATAGCCAGAGCTGAATGGCCCTCGAGGCAGGAATGGATCCAAGGACTCCAAGAACAGAAGATCCTGTGGTGAATGTAACATCAGAGACATTCACAGTACATCAGCGTCGACAATTTTCCTCAATGTCGTACGTGCAAGTAACATTCCAGGAGTTGATATCCTGGTGGTACCACAAAACCATCTGAAATCAACCTGCTATTCCACCCTGAAACATGGAAAACCCTTTGAGAACTGCATCAAGACTCTCCGTTGTATTTTGAAAATTCCAACGAGGAAATAATGACTCTAACTACTTACTCCTCTTTACACCACTCACAACAGATTTACACCAATTTCTACTCCTCTACAGAACTGAAACTTTGAATTTCGCGAATTGCCTTGACATGTAATTCACAAGTTGGAAGGGGATTTTCTCTTATTCCCTGGGTCGTTGCTTTCAAAGACACTTATCACAATGCATTCCCATTTCGAGTTGAATTAGCGCAATTATGACGCTTCGAGGTAGCCAAGTGCTTTTTACTGTTTGGAGCACGATATATTTTCTAATTTTCCAGGAATAAATTGCCCAATTAACATTTCAGACTCTCCAAAATCCGTGTTCATGTTGTGAATAACAAGACGGAATTTAGGACGTTCAATTGGCGATTGTCAATTGGCGTTCAATGAGATATTCCTATCGATGCAGCTTTCTCATTGGTATCGGAATTTTTTTCATTAAAAGTTGAGTTGAAATGGTAATTCAACTGGAAATACGGTGAACAGTCATGTGAAAGTCCATATAAAAGTTTCGGGTACTTGAAGTTTTGGAAGGCGATGGAAATGGAGCTTGAGGGTGTCTCGACATTGTCGAGTGTCTTTCCGAGACGTCGAACTTATCGACAAGGGTATTATCCAACTTTTGCCAATGATTCGGGGGAGAAAAACCGAATGATAAACCCGACATGTCGATAAAGTACTGTAATGCGGTAGCAAGGTGTCGAAATTTAAATAAATAATTCCAAATGACATTCCAATTCAATCCAAACAAAAATCGATGGCATGATCTCAGCGATTTGAGATGATTCCATAAGATTTCATGGGATTCATTTAATGGAGACGTGACAACAGGCCGCCCCTAGGGTATTTTTCATCACGAGAAAAATCCTGGGGAGTCCTGGGATCTCTGAAGGATCAAATAAAAATGGGGGATTCGTAATAAAAAATAGCGAGAGAGTAATACCTTGGGATTGAGTTGGTACTCGATAAGCTGGACGCATGACGCGTTATTCTGGCAGTTGATGAAGTCATCTCATGCTAAGACGAGCTCTCATGAGTCTTTTGTTCATTACCAACACCAACTGGTCGTCACAGCGGGTCATGTATTCACATTCACTGGGTCAACACTGAGTGGTATATCGTGTTGGTCAAAATGAAAAAGGATTATCTCGAATACTCTTCGGAGACACCATAAATTCATCGGTGCCCCAATTTTCAGGGTAATACGATTCTTCCGAATCTGGGGAATAAAAATGGGAGTAATTTAAGAATAATAATAAGAATAATTGATGAAAAATAGAATTTTACATATTAATTCATCGGGAATCAATCGGAAAAATTCGGATTAAAATTTATATCGCGGTGGAAGTGGAAAATTCGGGAGGGGGAAATTTGGGGGGCAGAGAGCTTTCCTGAATTTCGTATAAATAATTTCTGTCGTTGCGATCGGGGGTTTTATTTCGATGGTAAACCATCACTCTTAACGGCTCGATGTCGGGGTTTTCGCGTGCACCAACTGAACAGAAATTTATGGATTTATGGAAAGTCCACTCGGATGTCCCCTCGATGTCTCGAATGAGAATCGATATTTATCCAAAATATATAAACAAAAAAAAACAATTTTGTAAAGACTCAAAGAAACTCTTGCTATCCCGAATAAAAAAAAATTGTAATCGAAATATTTTTTCCAAATTAAAAACAAAATCGAAAAAAAAAACAATTTTATTTTTATTTATTTTTATTTAAATGGCGTATTTTTTGAGAATATTGAAAAATTTGAAAAAAATATTCCGATTACAATTTTTTTTACCCGGGATGTGCCAGAATAAAATTAAAAAAATACTTGATTTTCCCGGGATTCAGTAGCGGAATTTGAATTTGAATTTGAATTTGCGAAATTTGAATCAGTTGGACTATTGAAAGTGCATCCTCAAATTCACTTCCAAGAAACACCGGAAACATTGAAGTACATATCGATATATTCCTCAGCTGAATCCTCCCCTTAAAATAACCGCTCTCTTATAGATTTCTATACAGTGATTTTTCTCGAGGGATAAGCGTACACTGTGCACCATTCCCCAAGCAATATCAGTACTTTAAAGTCCGTTGCTTTGAGAGAATCTACTTTATTGCTCAGAATCTTGTGGAGAATCCTATAAATAACCAGTTCGATAAAAGATAAAAAGAGTCGCAGAATTTCTCCAAGAAACTCCCAACAAATGGCCTCAAAAAAAAAATCAGCAAATTCCAATTACCAAAATCCTACATTCACCAACAATTTTCTATTTCGAGAAAAACATATTTCCTAATTTCCCCTAATTCTAATTAAATTCGTATGCTTCTTTATTGGATTTTCCCGTGCGTCTCGATGTTTGAAATCTAAACCTTTTGTACTGGTATTTTTTTTTCATTTCTATTGGTTCTGCGGTTCCAGCTGTTGTCGCGGTTCGAAAAATATATAAAAAGATGGCTCTGAGGCTGGGTATAATCGCAATGCTTTTTCCAATGTGTTGTGGGAGTTGTGCCAACTGAAAATATTGCAACAAGCTTTTCTGATATTGCTATGGAAATCGGGTTATTCGGATGCAGTGCAATTGCAACGTGTGTTGTTGATGCTTCATGAAAATTTCGTTGTTTGCACCGATCGCTGTTCAATCGAAAATTGAATCTTCCAAAATTAACTGAATCTCTCATTCTCCACTGCTACATAGCTCTTTAACCAATTCTCCCAATTAAATTTTAATGAGGAAATGATAAATTCTGGGGGAATATAATATTTCATGTAATTTGCTCAACCGATGGTGATGGAGGATGGAAAAAAGTCTCGAGCCCTTGAATAAATTCTCGAGAAACTTTTCGTGTCATGTCCCTAAGTGCGTTGAGTACACTATCCTCCATTTTTTTTTATCGTGTCATACTCCTTACCCACCCATCGAATATTTTTAAATTCTTTTCTGCTCTAGTTTTCGCCCCATAAAAAAATCTAGCCGACAGATTGGAATGGGATTTTTTATGAAATCGATTCGATTCGCAGTAAACATCGACGACTGATTGGGCGGACGTGTTCAGAAAATCGAGGCGCGTTGCAATTAATTTTTTTACTGTAAAATAATCCTCTTATTTATCGCAACTCTCCCGGAGGAATATTTATAAAAAAAAAAATTGCAACATTCCTTCGTAAGTCATCGATATAATCAAGTCTGAAATTTTCTGGAAGAGAAGTTTTTACGGATTTCCGGAAATAGTTGAAGAAAAAAAATGGATACCTGAGGGGGAATTTTTCTGTTCGACTCCGCATGTGGAAAAAGTCGTGACCATAACGTTTTGGGTTGATTCCGCTGTTGTTTTTTATTCATGGAAATCCGGAAAAGCTTTTCACGAGCGGTGGGTGGAAAGTTCGGACAGCAGTGGCGGGTAGATACAATCGAAACTGCTGGTTAGTCTTTTCCGGGGAGTTATTGGGTACGTAATCAAGAACAAGGCCAATAAATTCTGGAGTAATTCAATCTCTGACGACTAAAATCCCAGAATCTGAAATTAAACGATAGATTTTCGTCTCAGAGTTGAATAAATGGTGAAGCAGTCCTGGAAATTTACCCCGATTTACTCCATAAATAATGAGAAATTATTAATAAATATATTGAATATATTATCGATTTGATTGATCGAACGCGATTTATCTGATGATTTCCCGGATGCAAGTGAGGAAAAAATATTAAAATATAATTATCGATGGGGTAATGGTTGAAAGCGGAAACTTGCCGACGCTCTCCCGTCAATTAATTAAATTCCAAGTATTTCCAACCGCAACTTGTGATTAACAAGATGAACACTATCTGTCGTGCAAAGTGTATGTCAGCATGAGGAGAATTAGCGAAGGTTGCCTAAGGGGCCTTTGACATTTTCCCTCGTCCAACTATTCAAAATTGCCTTCGTCAACGTAATCAAGTGGTTAAATAACACTAGAATCCACCAGCAAATGGTCATAAACCCACCGGTAAAGTTAAACGGAATAAATCAACAGTCGACGTAAAAATAGCTGGATAAATGGAAAGCGCCATTCGGCATCAAATCCGTTTGATTATTAAATTGCACTGGGGTAAATGCGCCATTGTTATTTACCTCTAAACAGCGGCCAATGGATCGTCTGTCTCGGTGGAATTTATCCAACCGATTTCTATTTATTCCCGGGGATTTTTCATTTTACTGAAACCTCTGACGAATTTTCGCTAATTATTCCGCGCGTCTGCAAACATAATATACTTTCTGTGAATATTCAAGCAGATATTCAGTATTCGGTATTCGGTATTCTAGAAAATAGTGGGATGCAAACATTTTCGTCATGAATTTCATTGGCTTTTGGTACCGACAAGTTAATTGAGGCCCGAGTTTCCGTGGGTCGTATGGAAATAAAATATTGATGTTCAAAATAAAAATATCCCACATTTCCCCCGGAATATCTCGGGACTGAAGCGAAATATTGATATTTTCGTAATTATCTTTTTTGTCGAGCTGACTTTTACCTACAAAATTTGTATCACCAGAAAATTCGCTATCTCCCTTGAATACTGAGATATTCGCCGATAATCCGCGTCGAAAAAATTCTACTTACGCAAAAATTGAGTTAAAGTTATAAATTTTGGAGAAGTGCAATTTTTTATTATTGCACACTTGCAATTGCATTGAAATATATTTAAACGGACATTATCGAAGGGATATATAGTCCTCTGGGATTAGCAAACAAAAGGAGTTACGAGGAGATAAGAAAAACTGGTGTTACAGTCACGTACCCGAATCCCTCTTATCACAACTTTTATCATCACACCATGAAAATCGTAAAAAATCACCAGAAAATGATAAATCATAAAAAACATTAGCGGTTATAAATTTATCCTAATGATATTTCACGAGAACACAAAATGTAATTCGTTATTTCTCCAACCAACTGGAGGAAAAATAAATCATGAGTTATGGATGATGAAAAAAATATTATTTCCATGAGGACAGAGTCTACGGCTCGAGTACATAAATTATTCAGCTTGGCTTTCTTTCCCGAACTTTCATCGCCAGACAAAAATTAAAAACTAGGAGGAGATCTATGTTAAACAGAGTGGAATAATAAACAAGAAAGTTTTAATACACCGAAGCCGAAGCAAATCCCCAGGACACACGTGAATTTACGTCGGAGAGTTGAAACTTTTCAGTTTTCCCTGAAAATATCTGAATATTATACAATATCAGAAATTCTCCTCGAATTTTCAATTAAAAAAAAATCCCAAATCCCTCCCTTTACCCTCCAGATATGTAAGAACCAATAGAATCCTTCGATCCACAATGAAATAATTAAAAATCCAAAATTGATCTTCAAAATAAAAAAATCCGCGAAATTCCAAATAATTTTTTCGCGAATTCTTCGAGGATTTGTTCGAATCATTGATAATGACGATAAAATTGGTATTTCCGGGGGATAATTTGTGATATCGCAATGATAACAAATATATTCGATTGATATTTTTGAATTCGAGGTATCGACAAGTGATCGTTCTGTGTGGAGTCGAACGCCTGCGGCATGACCTACCGCAATCGACGGTAAAAAATAACAAATCATAGACTGCCCGACAATTTGCGATGAGAATATCAAAATACAGGTAAATATTATGTTTACGCACCGGAGATTGTTGAGTATTCTGTGTGTCTTCAATAAACAGCGGTGAATTTCAAAAATATTTTAGAAAAAACGTCATAAGAGCAATTGAACTCCTGCGGCTGCGGTAGAATATGTAATTTCATTTTTGCCGCACATTTTTGTCGCTTTGATTGGCCCATTGTTATTTTTTTAATTTAATCGGCGCGACGGGGGGGAGCGCGAGGGGCCGCGGAGGGGTGCGAAAGACCTGGGGGGCGACGGCGATGCTGGAGTCGTTTGAAAGGGAATAACCGTACGTTTCAGATGGTTGGGTGAAAAAAAATACGAGGAATTTGGTATATCGCACGGCCTCGCGTACCAAACCCAACTGAGAAGACAAAGTTCCCCTGTTCCCATGGCCGCGCCCCCGCCCTCCGCCCTCGATTAAATACTCGCGCACG